TCTCTGAAGAATTAAAATTGAAATGCTGTGTTGATGGTGATTATGCAAATGATGTAAAAACCAGAAAGTCCAATTCTGGGATTGTGGTATTGCTTTGAGGGGCTTTAATTGGTTGGAAATCCAGGAAGCAAACAACTGTGTTGAGGTATTAAGATTTAAGAGCTGACCAGCAGCAGTAATAGCTGCCTGATGCTGTAAGTCTGATGCAATGTTAAGCTGATGAAATGAAGGTGATTCAGTGTAGCATGGGTATTTCCCTTTAAGACTGGGGATGGGTTCTTCCCCTTTAAGGAAGAACTATAAAGGCAGCCATTATAGAGATGTGTTCTCTCACCTTGTGTCCTGTATCCAGTGCAGAGTTTCTCCAGGTAGAGTTAAGAACGTATTTATCTACCATACTATATTTCTGTATAACTGTTGTATATAAACCACTGTTAAATGTTTAAGTCTCTGCGTGCTATGTTTTACTCCTTCATTGTCATGCTGCAAACAGGTTCTGACAGGTTATGGGCCCAGTACAGAGAGAAGGTCAGAGTGACTGGAAAGCCTAGAGAGAAGAGAAACCCAGTGGGAGCTTGCACCAGAGTTAAGTGGTTTAAATTGTGGTTAGTGGCTTGTGGAGGATACTATGAAATATGGCCTTAGTCAGTGTAATGGGAGGAAGTTTGCTGGTGTTTCGGTTGAATGAGACAAACTACCTCTCCTGGAGTGTGAAGATGGAGATGTATCTACGGAGGGAGGAGTTGTGGATGATTGTTGCTGATCCACCGGCAGTCCTGGATGATGGGGATAAGAGGAAAAATGAAAAGGCTTTAGCCAGTATAATTTTGGCTTTGGAGAACAGTCCGCTGATACACGTGAGGGGTCTCCAGTCTGCGAAAGAGTGCTGGGAGGCATTGCACTCTGTACGTGAGAGAAACTGTGTGCAGTAAAGTGTTGCTGACTAGGAGACTGCATAAGGCACAGCTGAAGCCGGGGGAGTTTATGTCCACACATCTGCAGAATATGAGAAGGACATCCCTTGAGTTGGAAGAAAGAGGAATGACATTTACTGAGGTACACTAGGTGTATGTGGTGCTCAGTTCTTTGGACAGTTCATGGGTCATTCTTTTGACCAATCAAGTCTATGCAAGAGCAGGATTTAACCATGTCATATTTAACTGGTCGGTTTTAGAGGAGGAAGAGAAAGGGCTGGAGAGGCGACCTGGAAAGGGAGGAGAGAGCGTTCAGCACAAACCAGCATCTACAAAAGGCCAGGATGGCGGCAGAGCAGCTGAGACAGTGAACTTCATGAAGAGATGCTACACATGTGGTTCTACTGAGAATTTCCAGAGATGCTGCCCTGAGAGGAGGAACAGGAGCAGTGGGACAAGGGAGCAGGACTACTCAGCACATGTGGAGCAGTTCTCCAGTGTTATTTTCCCTGGTAGCATCAAGAACTGAATACACCAGGAATACGTGGTTGTTAGGCAGTGGGGTGAGCCAGCATATTTCTAACAATCCACAAGTGTTTTCTGGTTTGAAACCAGCAAAGCAAAAGTAAATTAGTCTGGCCAATAGACAAAGAGCTGCTGTAAAAGGGGAAGGTAATGTTTATGTATCAGAAATAGGTAATACTTTGTACAATGTTTTATATGTACCTGCATTAGAACATAGTTTGTTGAGTATATCCAAATTAGATAGGGAGGGTTATGAAATACTATTTGCAGGGGGACAGTACACTATTAGTAAAAATGGTCAGATACGTGCACAAGGGGTTAAGAAGGATGGCCTGTACATTCTGGGAAGGTAGGAAAATAGTTGTGCACGTGTACTTACGCATGTTCCCACACATGATAATTGTGTACATTTGTTACATAGGAAATTGGGGCAAGTTTTAACATACTTCGGAAAATGCCAGGCCTAGCTGAGGGGCTTAAGTTAAATAAATGTAATGTATATCTAGATTGTGCTGTTTGTAAGGAGTCAAAATCCAAGGTGTATCCTGTAAGTTAGAAAAGTGCAAGAACAACAGAGTATTGCAATTAATTCATGCTGATTTGGTTGTCCCTATGGCACCCTCTTTAGGAGGAGCTAGGTATGCCTTAGTCATAGTAGATGACTACAGTAGATATGGGTATCGTTATTTACTGAAAAACAAGACTGAAGTATTGCAACAAGGTGGTTAAGCAGTCTAGTAATAAGGCATAGAAGAATGAATCCATATATACCTGCTGAAAATGGAGTGGTTGAAAGAAAGAATGATGTGATGCAGACCATGAAGGACACATTGCTTGCAGATGTGGGCATGAGTAAAGCATACTGGGGGGAAACCAGAAGGACAGCAAATTATATTATTAATAAGTTATGGAGTGTGGCAATACAGGAAACACCATATTTCATGTTACATGGAAGAAAACCCTCATTAGCTCATTTAAGAACATTTGGCAGTTATGCCTGGGTACATATTCCAAAAGATACAAGGAGAAAGGGTCAGAAAAAGGCCAGGAAGCTTAGGTTTTTGGGTATGAGTCAGGAACAAAAGGATACAGGTTTACAGATGGTAGTAATTTCAAGATCTGCTAGTTTTGAGGAGAAGAACAATTGGAACAAGATACATGCAAATCACGAGGTATTCATGCTAATGCATAGTCTTAGTTTACCAGAAAGTGAGACAGGGAAGGAGAGATAGGAAACCAGGTCAGATATAGGTATAGAAGAGCATAGACCTTTAAGAGGTGTTTATATAAAGGCAGACATTATAGAGGGCATGTTCTCTCTCCTCGTGTCCTATATCCAGTGCAGAGTTTCTCTGTGTAGAGTTCAGAAGGTATTTGTCTGCCATGAATATTTCTATATAACTGTTGTATGTAAACCATGTCTGAGTCTCTGTGTTTTGCTCCTGGGTTGTCTCATAATGGTATTCACACTGCAAACGCTCTGACAAACTATAGCCATTTCTACTGCGGAGGCAGAATTTATTGTTTTGTTTGAACTCTGTTCAGAAATAACTTGTTACAGGATTTAAATGTAAAAGTAAATGAAGCTGTATCTGTGTATGAGGATAATGTTGCCTGCATTAAAATGGCAACAGGTAACAGAATAAAAAAATAGAAGCGAGCATGTGGACATTAAATATTGTAATGTAAGAGAAGCCATCAAATGTAAATTGATTAGCTGGCTTCACTGTGCGTCAGAAGACAATCTGGCTGACATAATGTCCAAGCCATTGGGTGGAGTGCACCATGGGAAGAATATTAATTGGATTTATGTCTCTTCCAGTCATGAAGGGAGGAGTGTCAGAATATTCATGAACTGACAGAGGCATGGTAACAAGGTCAGCCAATGAATAGGCATAGCAATTAAGTCAGCCAATGAGGACTGTTTGGAAACTGAAACTGGAAGGAGCCTGGGTGTGATTCTGTATCTCTGAGCTAGCTCTGAAGCTGCATTCTAGTCTGCAACTCTGAATCAAAACTGAAAGTGTTCTCTCCTCTGTTTGTGTTTTTGCCTGTAACACTCTACCAAGTTGGAAGAATCTACTATTGATATTGTACATTTACTCATATCTTATTATGTATATAAAGAAGTTATTTGAATCCTGCTGAATCAGTCATCTGTGTGTGCTTTCTGGATTTGATTTCTGCAATAAACTCTAATAAAATTTCAGGTGACAAATCCAGTTTTAAGAAGTTGTGTTTTAGCATTATTTGTGTCACTGTTTACCTTTCCCCTTAACAACTGTTTTGATTAGTTTTGTAGCAAAAATATGAAATATTATTTAGATCAGTTCCTTGTTTGTTTTAATGCAATATGATCATGTTTGATTAGAAAATAATTACTTGCTCTTAATAAATGTAACTTGAATTGTATGAGAACATTTTTCAATATTTGATTTTTTAATCAACACTGTTTCATATATGTTAGTGTTCTTGTTTTCTCTCTCTCTGTCTCTTTCATGTTTGGGGTATGTGTACATCTTTTAGCACTCTATTTTTGAAATCTTAACATATCTTTCTCCGTGTCTTGCGACATCATTTCACAGTTTGCCTAGTTTCAGACATTTCAAGATGCTGGTCTTGAGACCCTGCATCCTAGCAGCATGCACTGTTGTTGTCAGATCCCTAAAAGTGATACTGCCATTCAGTTGGGGGAAGGGGGGATCTTGAATTCGATTCATTATTATTGCCTATGACAACTGCTATTTTATAACTTGTATCCCAGTGCCGGAGTGCCCTGAGATTTTTTTCACCTCTTAGGAAATGTGGTGGGGGGAGGGCCACGTGGGTTGTTTCATTTTGAAAGCCAGCAGAGATGGCCATGGGAATGCCTGCTTATCTATTTCTCAGAGCGGCCCGTAGAATAACATCTTCACGCCTGTGGATTGGCTGAATCCGCATCTGGCTAAAGGGAGGGGTCTCTACTGCTTTAATTCTACTTGTCTTGCCTAAGGGTATTCAGACGTTGCCTTGAATGTATTGCTGTCACTTCTGCTTAATAAAAGGTTCCCTTTGAAATACTTCATTTCAAGAGTCTTCACTTTATTAAGTTAGGAGGTGAGGCAATCCTTAAAGTTGTATCTTGTGACCCTTAACAATGGACATCTATGAGTGATTTTAGGAGCAGTGTTTTCTCTGTAGTAATGCTATGCCAATGGAGTTCTCTTTTCAGGGAGAATTGTGTATTGTTTGATGAAAAAACCAAATCAGTTTGGTTTGTTAACTTTATCTTTTATCCTATTTGCCTCTTCTTCTCTGATTTTGCTCCTATCTTGATGGATGGGGATCCTTTCTTTCTTTTGAGGAGTGGTATTTAATGATTTTGCTAGTGGCTTGATTGTAAGATAACATGAAACCCTGAGTCTTTGAGAAGATTAACAGAAAAGGAGGGAAAGGTAGAAATTTCCAATGAACTCATAACCCACTGTGGATTAAAATGAAATAGTAATATGGTGATATGCCTCCTTGGAGGAATCCTATTCTCATGATGAATGTTTTATAAAATGTTGCTTTATTTTACAGTTGATTGCCATGTATGACGAACAAGATGCATTCCCCAAATCTGATGACACCAATGGTAGTTTAACAGAAGGCAACAGCCCAGATGCTTTTGAGACTGATGTAGCTGCCCAGCTAGCAGTATTTCAACCTATTGGTGGAGAGATAGAAGTGACATCATCTGCTCTGAAATTAGGTAGGTACTTACATTTTTAAGAATGGATTGTTAAGATAAGAATGTCCCTTGTAATTTTCTTGAGTCTTCCAAAGGATTTATATGCAGTAATAAAATATTCTCAATATGCTACCTTCCGCATGGTAAAGGTGCGCAGAATCAGTATATGTCATTGCCCAATGCCTCAGTTGAAGGAGGAGGACTTATTTGATAATTGTCCTGGAGTTATTCCTAACCTATTCCTAACTCTGCATGCCTTAGCCTTTGGACATTTTCAGAGATTCTGGGTTAAGGAAACAACTCACTTAATCAGTCTCTTCAGAAGCAAGAAGTGCCTTTGGATTCCTTTCTTTTTTTCTGATCTTGATATACAAAATAAAGTCTTATTTTCTTAATGTCTCAGAGGCCTTCATTTTGTGGAAAGGGACCAATGAGCACCTGGCTTCCCTTCTGATGAACTACTCAAGAAGAAAGAAATATTGCCATGACCTTTGTACAAGAAGACCAGGACAAAGAGGGATTGTTCTATAGATAAAAAGTTGGTGCCATCATCACCATATTAGCTCTTCTTTAAAGCCACTTTTGTGGAAGCCAGGACGGCCCAGTTCACCCTATTCATTTGGGTGCATCCCATTACATTAGAACATGCAATCCATCAATGCAATCTAGCAGTGCTTACTGATTAGTTGATAAATGATAAAAAAGTGACCGTAAAAAAACATAAAACCCAATTTAATTAATTTAAGTTTGAGAAACAATACTTTTAGGATTTGTTCCATATTTTATATGAAGTTTAATTATTTATTGTGAAGACGAAGTATACTGTAGCATTTTCAAAACAATAGAAGTCTAAAATCTCAGGCTGTTTGATGCATGTATTCCATCATTCCTTTTTTGTTGCTTCAAAGGCTAATGTTTAGAATAATCATTTTTTTAACCATTCATCATTGCCCATTAGTTCACTTTGTTTCCTTTGTCCTTGACTTACTTTATTGTGTTTAAGTATGTCAGCATAAATGGTGTGAGTCAAGGATATCTCCCAGTCTATAAAATACTTCTGGTATAATAGCTTAAAATGAACACTAGCAGGCATTTCAACAAACTGCTTTTGATATCAATTACAGAATAATTTAACTGGCTCTTAGATAGAAATGAAGTATTATCAAAGTGAACACTGAAGATGCTTAAACATGAATTGTCATTTGATATGGAATCATAAGTTAGATCATACTCATAAAATTACACTTCAAAGTGTGTGCCCTTCCTTGGTCTTTCTCTTCATGTTTTGTTATTGTTTCCTTAAAACATGCTACATGCAAGCAATCTGTAATGCTGCTTAACTGCTCCTTTCATTAGCAAGGTCTTCAGCTGCAATTATCTATATTTTAATAGCTTCTTATTTAACTAATCAGTGAGATATTCAATGGAGATGCATTCACTGATTTTTTAAAAAAATCATCTTCTGGTGCCTTCCTTTTAAATTCTTCTATGCTTTTTAATCTTTCCCTTTTTAAAGTTGTGTGTATTTTTTAAATCTTTTCTCTGCAATATATTTTTATTTTGATGTAATTGTTCTTTAACTTGTTAAATTTTTAAATTGTAAGTTTGGTTCTTGGTATAACCCTATGTTTTGCAATATATTTTTAAATTATAATTTTATTGGAAGTTTTAAAAGTAAGAGTAAATATTAATACAAACTAAAATAGAATAAGAAGGGGGGAAAGGATGAAGTAAAAGAAAAACCTAATGTGCAAAAAGAAAAGAAGAATAGAAAGAAAAAAAACATATTCTGATGTTCTTTATGGCAGTTATTAATACGATTGTAGATTGTAGATTTATGTCTTTCTCTAACATTTCACTGTGACTGTCTTCTTTCTATAAACTACCCAATCTAATTGCCAAAACTATATAGATCATAAGTTCATTTTTTTCTGTTTTATGCAAATAGTTCTTAAGCAGTTTTCAGTCATTGATAAACATAGATATTATCAACTTGACCATTTCAGCAAGATCTACAGCATCATCTTCACCAACCATTTCTGTTGAAGTTGTTGCCAAATCTTTCAGTCTTTGTGCATACAATAATCTCACTGCAGTTATCAACACCAAAAACGAAGTTCAGTGACTTTTTTTCCAACTATTTATCCATCAGTCCCAAGAGTAAAACTTCTGGTTTCAGTCCTATATTAATGTTCAAAATCATCTGAATCGGTATGTGTTTTACTGTACTCTAACAAATTATTGTTTTATATTATGGATGTGTGGAGAGCTTTGTTTCCTGAAAAACATACAAAATAATAATTTTCTGCCACTTTTTTAACTTGTTGTTTAGCACATATTTTTCTCCAGGCTTTCTGGAAAAAAAAAGCTGAGAAGACAAATTCTAAAACCATATTTTGAAAAACATGTGGCAGAAAGCAAGCAGAAAATGTAAACTTCAAAATTATCTGCCACACATGTACACCCTGACAAGGTTCTCTTAAAATGTTTGCTTCAACCAGATTGATGTTCATGTGCTGGATTTTTTATGTTTAAGTTATGGCTCAATATTTATTTGTTAACTGCTGTTCCATTTATATTACAGCTCCATTTCAGACATATGAAAATCATCCCCACATCTTTCTGTGTCAGCTTCCTCATGTTGACAAGGATAGGATTTTAAGTGGATGGGAGGGACTGTCCTTGTCCTGGTCTCCCTGCCACACTTGGAAGTTTCAAAGACCTGAATAAAACTTGCCTTGGAATGGTGTGTGGGAAAGAAGGGTTGTAGTCGCTGCTATTTATAAATTCTAAGCTTCAAAAAATGGAAACTGTACCTCTTAGACTGATGACATATTTTTATGTCAGCCTTTTCAAAGCCATGCTTTCTTTTAAAATAATTTTCAGTGTATATCTAAAGCAAAAAAAAAAAAAAAAAGCTGTACACTTTCAAAGGAGAGTAAAGGGGGGAAAAACCCAAAGTCAAGTGATACTATTCACTATACAGTACATCAGGCTAGTAGAATATGTAGAAGGAAAAGGACCACAATAATGAATTAAAAATAATTTTGGGCTGCAAAAAAATAACTGGGACACCCATCAGCTGTTTGGCAGCTAACAAAGTGGCAGCAGTTCTGAGCTGGTGGTCATGATGGTGAGCCCTGAAGGAATGGTGGAAACTCCTGGCCCATAGGCCGGATGCATTACATGCTGGCCATGCCCACGCCCAGTTTAGTGAAGAGAAAAAATTCCTGATATGTCACATGATGCCACCGTGACAACATGAATTTGACACTCCTGCTCTAATGTAACAGCCTCCAAGTCCAGAGGAAAAGACAGCCAAGGGCAAGAAGGGCCCAACCAGGTTGCTCTTTGTATCATCACATCTCAATTTTCTCATTGGTCCTTCAGTCTCCCTTGCTGGAGTTATTTTCTAATCCCCAGATGACCTCATTGTCCTTTTTTGAACTTGTTTCAAAGTGAGATGATCAGAAACAAATATTTTATACTTCAAAGGTATAAAATTCTGTTCAAAGCAGAGTAAAGCAGAACAGTTGATTTCTGTGATTTGTGAACTCTATTTCTGATGTTGCAGTATAAATTATATTTGCATTTTTGGCAGTAACATTTTACTGCTGTCTCATACAGTGTGTGAAATGTAGTCAGGTAGTACAACAAAATCTTTTGTACAGGTATTATTGCCAAGGCAGAAATAGCCAACCTACATTTGGGCATTTGATTTGGGTTTCCTAACTTTACATTTGTGTCTATTAAATAGGGTTTTCTTACTTCAGCTCTTTCCTCTAACCTACCAAGTTTTATTTCAACATTTATTTTAGATGATCACTGATAGTCCTCAATTTATGACCAGAATTGAGACCAGAATTTCTGTTGCCAATCAAGATGTTTGTTAACTGAGTTGACCAGATTTTCATCATGATTTTAAAGTGAATTACTACAGTTCTTAAGTGAATCATGAATCCAGTTTTCCCATTGACTTTGCTTGCTGGAAGCCCACTGGGAAAATCACAAATGGTAAACATATGAACCCAGGACACTGCAACCATTGTAAAAACATGATGGTTGCCAAATGGCCAAATTTTGATCATGTGATTATGGGGTGATCATAAGTGAGGACCAGTTATAAGTCACTTATTTCAGTGCCATTGTAACTTTGAATGGTCCCTAAACCAATGGTTAAAGACTACCTTGTACCTCACAAATTTGTGTCCTTTATGAGAAATCTTGCAAACTGTAGTGAAATAATGGGAGAGTTCTATTTCTGGATCAAAAATCCAAATAAAGGATGAGAAGCATCTTATTGAACATTGAATTGCTACAGGGTAAAGATACTTAAGGTCTAGTAGATTTTTCCGCCCACAAAGTAATTCAAAGTTGATAATATGGAGATAAAAAATGATATTACTCTGATCTCCTCATTGATTTGGAGGTGGTTAAAGAAACTAGAATTATTTAAAGAATAACATGGAGTGATATTAATTATCACACAGATTTGATAAAAGAAAACTCATAGCAATCATAACAATAATATCAAAAAGCTGCCAGAAAGGCATCTGACTGTCAGATCATGCAGAAATGCTAAAGGAGAAGAGGCAGATCTCAGAAAACCTGAATTAATTATTTAGGTTTTTCTCCAAAGTGAAAAGTATAATACCTTATACCTGAAATGGCTTTTACAGATAAGGTGTTCTAGGTACTGGGTGACATATGGATGACAAAAGACATTCTAGAATTTCTTGGAAAATTACAAATATAACAAATCACTTGATTTATATGATAATCTCTTGAGAGTAAAAGGAAAGAAATATGAAATTGCTGATATGCTAACATGCAAATAACAGTAAACACAAATTATCTCTCAAATCAGCCCCTATAATGAGATTGGAAAGCAGCCACTGGAACAATGATTTTTAAAAAGAGATCTAAAAGCGATCCATATAATTATAGGATAGTTAACTATTAATTAGAGGAAAGCATTATTGAAATGTAGGATTATTAAACATATAGCAGTATATTTGCTG